TTGCTAAATAGAGTGATAACAACATTGACCTGCGACTTGGATTGTAACTTGTAGTCTAGTATAGAGAAACTAGCAACAAAGATGGCATCGGATCTGAAGCTGCTTCGTGTCCCCGACTCACCTTACTCCCTGTCCGTTCGACTATGTGCTGATTATAGTACTGAACAGTTATCTAAAAGAATATCAACCAGAATTGATCGCACTGATAGCTGTAAACTAGTCAGACGTACCTGACGTATTTCGTCTTCTTATGCGTGCAGTCTATTACATGATCTGGTGCTTATCTCTATCTGCTACTTGCCTGACATTATACATGTATGCAGTTAATAGAGCCTATTGCATGAAAATGACCTGCAATAAACTAGATGCTGTCGTCTAGTCTTGGGTTTGGAGACTGGACTGCCTCGGACGTCTTTCGGACGATATGTTGACGACAGACTGTCGATTCGATGAGACGACCTCGTTCTGCCAGCTTGTTCAAACAGTACAAACACCAAGCGAACAACAACAAAACAGAAGACATAATTCCCTTTAGACATGACCAGGGCACAATTTGTCTATGTAGGTTTGTGTTTATAGCGGTAGAGTCTAGGGCGTACTTACTGGATCCTGCACGATGATACAGTATAATTAAAACGGCACATCTCGGCCAACTCTCGGCATGTTCTTATGCATAGAATACTTCCATATACCTTCACCCAAGTATCCTCCAAAGCTTGGTGTGAATTTTTATTGTTCTGTCTCCCCGACATGAGCTAGCCATTTCGGCCACCGCTTCTATACACTTTCAGGCGCTTTTCGATTCAAGGCAATATGTCGCTTTCTTTCAACTCAGAATCATCTCATTGCACAGCAGCTGCGCCATTGATCATCTCACCATTCCCGCTCTCTTTCTCCACATCTTTTCGTTTTTGTCTTTGTCTTCCTTTCTCTCTATCTCTCCCCCATTCGCTCTCGTTCTTATTCCATTTCAGTATGTTTCCTTTTTCTCTCATGCTATCCTCGTTATTGTCGTTTTTCTGTGGTGTTGCCTAAACATCAACATCTTAATCAATGACGATGGCATCAACAATCGATTACCTTGATCTCGGTGATGATCTCGATCTCGATGATCTCGGTTTCGCCACGCCACTCATGGATATGTCATCTCGACAACAATCTGCTTCACTGCTACCTTTCGTTGTAACCAAATCTGACTCTCACGTGGCGACGTCCCGTCGACAACTCGTGATGGCGCCGGTGAACTCTCAAAACGAAAATAAACCGAACCAACTTGGTCAACTTGCATCGACGCCTGCCCGCTGGTGCGGAATCTGTTTTACGCGGTGACGGTACGACGTCGTATGGTGGATGGTGCGCGCTCGACCCTACGCCGGCACGCCGGTTGCGCACACTTCGTCAACCTTTTGTTATTGGACTTCTTGATCCTGACTTTTCGTCGTCAACCTCTTTTTGCTCACCTACTATTCAACTAACTGTACTCGCGTATGACACGCAATTGCGTGCTTCCTTCGCATATGCGTGTCATCCTTATACTTTCTTCAATCTTGGTTTTCTTACCCATCATTGATATGTATGTGCGTGCGACCCGGGTATCGCTGATCGTGTTCGTACCGAACCTACGACGCGCCCGTTCATTGCGGCGGAGCCGATTTCTTCATCACAACAATAACATCATTTACCACACTTCGTTCATCATCCGGTCACAACTATAATTGAACATAACAATCGCTATCGAACAATTGATTGATGCTGACAGCATTTCACTCTGCATTCGCCGACAGCAGACACGGCGGCTCGAGGCGCCAGTCGAATCCGGAGAGCAAGGCGTCGTCGATACACGACATGGCAACGGGTCATCGGTCGGGCCTGCGAACCGCAAGCGGACGCGTTAAGTGAGGCAGCTTTTGCCGACTAGGCGTCCCGGCGTGTTAGGGTAAAGGCCATCTGACTCGGCGACACCATAGCTGCCATCCTTGCAAGCTTTCGCTCTAAAGATGAAAACATCAACGGCGTTAGACTCTTCGCGGTGGCGGAAGTGGTGATCCCTAATCTCGTGGCCAAGATCCGGGCCTTCGTGCGCCTGCATGGGAACCTCACTTCGCGAATGTCGCCAGGAAAATAAAGCAGTCGTCGAATTCTAGCCAAGAACGGATTACAGGAGACTGATGGACTATGAATGGATGATCTATTCGAGAACGCAACTTTGACAACCGTCACTACAGATCCAACAGCCACGATCAGTATGCTAGCACAAGCAAAAAGATAATTAATTGTTCATTAACGACTGCAAATATGTCACCTACATGATGCCTTCATCGGAGCGCATGGTCTGTCTCTTCGAACTTGTGTTGGCCTTCGGTCGACACGTGAACGAAGTACATGGATCAAGCCGGGTTCTAGCCAACTCTACACCATCATTAGCAACACATACAAATTACGTACAATTTATTGCTATCGGTCAGCTAATGATGGCGACGTGAATGGTAAATGGCAGAACCGGTGCACGACGAACGCGCACACCATCACCCAGCGACAATGTCGGATGAAAAAGATTCAAGAAAAATAAAGGTTTACGGGAATTTTCGTCGATTTCGTTTTTCAAAACAACGGAGCAGAGATACACACAAACGAGTCGACATCGATAGCTGGCTTAAATATGTAGAGACAGATACACTAACAGACGTCATGTATGTACACTCATAGAAAATATGTAAAAGAAATAAAAGTGACTGTTATAGATATTGATTGTACAGATGTTAGTCCTAAGGCACTTAGGAGTCTATAAAGGTTAGGTTACTACGGAGCTGCCAATGACAAATGGTTTTTATATGCATTGACAATTAGCAACGAAATTACAAAGTCATATTTTAGTATACTAATCATAATATCAATTGTAATAAAAACAATAAGTGTAACAACAACAGTTTGTGTAGTGATATATTGACTTTACGTCGGTCCTGTTTAAGGGTCAATAATTATAACGCGAACTCAAAAACACATTGATTGGAGTATCGAAAAAATCACTCTTTTGCGTATCGTACAGCCAGCCACACGCGTAACTAAATCAACCAATAATAATAATAAATTGCAGAAAGAGTTCGATATCCGAGAAAATAGGCAACGTAAGCTGCCGCCCGCTCAAAGGAAGTGATCATTAGTAAAAAAAAAAAAAAAAAAAAACTAAAAACAATGCAGTCAACACCCGCAGGTCCGAGCATAGTAATCCACTAAATTACGTGTCCTTTAACACAGCCTGCGATAACTTTGTGAGCTCTGATTATGCCTTTTGGCTGAACTATGCGGTCCGACGCGACGAGCCATCTGTAGTACACCTGCAGCAGTAAACTGGTCCATAAATAGAATAAAGAAGTTTGAGCGGAAAAAGACGACCTAGCAAGACAGATAGCCTATTCGGTCAACAGGCAGGCATTGACCATACAGTTAGTTAATGATAATTATTATATTAACTGTAACTGTTGTACATAGATAATATGCGCCAGCGATATGGGCGCGTCGGAGAGTGTCGCATCAAAAACGCAAATAAACAAAAACAACAATCCTAATTGATTTGTCTGATAATTTCCTAATTTCTATTGTATTACGACGATGTATGAATCGATGTAATGAAACAAGAGAGAGAAGGCGAAAATAATTATAGAAAAAAGATAAGGGAGCTAATGGGAAGAAACGAGACATAGAAAAAAATTATGATAATTCTGATAATGATACAGAGGGAGAATAAAGCAAATAAAAAAAAAAAACTATTTGTGACAAGCACCTCGTTGCCAAAAAAAAAATAGTCCGTTTATTGTCATCATTAAATAGTTCTAAATAAGCACAACTAGGCCAGAAAAATTATCTATCGTCTGGAAAATTATATTTGATCTCGCCTTTACCTCCGCTTCTCTCCTTTATGGCCCTGCGGACATTTCGCCGTAAACAGATTTCATCTTGAGCCTAAACTTTAAACATGGAAGTTCCCGAATTTTTTAACTGAATTTTTTAACTAAAAAAAAAAAACTAAACATTTCGGCAGATACTTCTAGCGAAATTTTCATTAACAGTGGCTGAAGGCCGTAGAAAGTAGTTGAAAAAGTCGCCCTTATTTTCCAAACAGTCTAAGAGAACCACGTAGATCTTAGAGCAGATAATACATTTCTCAATAACAGGATAACCCCGCTAAGATGCAATATCGCGCAGTCCATAGTGTTGTATAAGGGCAGTTTCCAAAATGGAATCCCATGTATGGATCTGCACGCATAAGTGCATATAAACTTGTTGTAACGTATTGTCTCATGTTACTCAGCATATCAGTTCAAAGAAACCAAATCTCTACGTGTTCGAAAAAAAAAAAGATTTTTTTTGTATGATCAAAAAGCGTCAATGGTTTTCAGTACTATATTGTTACTAAGCTTTGCTTGACAACAAAGTACCACCACGAAAATGATGTGGCTGGGAAAACTGGCCAAAAAAAAAATAACATCTATGGATAAATCGGCTTTAATGTCGCTGGACTTCGTTGCTACCAGAAGTGAGATGGCGTCACGCACACAGTCCCGGTTACCGATGACAAATCTGAATAAATCCTCGTTAAATACTTTGAAAAAACGGAGTGAGTGATCGTTTCTTTTCCCATAACTGGCCAGCTCGTACTTCTGCTCTGAGGTCAGCCGAAAACTATACCGCAATAAGGTTAGTAATTTGTATACTTAGCTTGTCAACTTTTGTGTCTAAAAGTAAAAAAAGGATGTTCCTCAAAAGCTTCTACAGGGCTACAGCTTTGAACAGAAAATCTTTGGTTGCTGATAAAATCTACTATCCTTTACGTTATTTATTACCGCATTTTGTCCATATACCTTCTCTACTTAGATACGTTTACTTTCCTATTTAAATAAAAATTACACTTTTTTTTATTCGATTTATTGTTCGCATGTAAATCACAGATAACACCGAACTTAATAGTACTCTGTACCGTAATTATGAATGTATTAAAACAATAGCATCATCGCCGATTAATTATTCCGCCTTATATCTATATTTAATATATATATATATATATATATATATATATATATATATATAGAAAATTGTGTAATCAAACAAAAGCGCCCGTGTACGTTCTTGTGCTAGCTCCTTTATTCCTTACTTGTTTCCTTCACTTAGAAAAACCTTTAGCATCCATTATTGTGTTCGTCCGCTATCGTATATTCCATCTACTTGGCTCCGGAGCCTGTGAGAGAAGCACTACCCCGTTAATGTTGTTGCATGTTCTTGATACGATTGAATCTGCCCGCGCAGACAAGTACATAATGCTCCATTCGTGTTGCGATCGCCGTGACACCTTGTGGCCACATCGTGCATTACACAATAGAGCTAATCATTTTATCCTGTCTTGGGAGAACTTTGTCATACATGCATGGCTTCCATGACCGGTTCTCATGATGTTTTTTCTGATGTCCCAACATTTTGCATTTTTATGCTCATCTTCTCACAGTTAGCCTCTGCGTAATCACGTAAACGTGGTTCGTCCTTTCACTTCGGGTTTGCCTTTTCAAGTCAACAATCATCTCGACCATTATTTACTTTTACTTCCTGTTTACTGTTATGCCCTATACGAATCATACATAAGCAGTGCTTATGAACAGTATATCTGCCACTGTACTTGGTCATAGCTCTAATCACGAAGACGTTGAAAAGCCGTTTAAAAAAATTTGCTGAATTGAAGGAAATGCGAAAAATCCGCAGTACGCTGTTTCAGTATTAAGTGGACGACGTTTCGTTGTTATAGGCGTCAGCCGAAAATTCATACGACGTACGCAACACAACCTGTAACTCAGTGACATTAATACGGTTTCATGATGCCCTGATGATTATATAATTGCGGTGTCCTATCATTTGTGCTTTTAGAAGAACGTGAGTATAATGGGTGTCGAGAATAGAGTAGTCTATCTGAAACTCAAAAGCCAAAAGACATTTCTATTTGCGTCCATACGTGACATGCACGCTGACCGTTTGAGCGTTGTTTTTTAAGGAAAAATGTCTGCCATGACTATGTAAAATTTACACTAGACTTGAGATATTTGCTGATCGCTTGCTCGATATTGTCGAGTTTATGACAGCAACATAGAACTAGCAATAATTATAATAATATATCGCAATGCTAATAACAATATCTATCCAATCGTATTACAAAACGTGTCGTGCTGTTTGTGTGCTTATTGTCCCCACTGTTACTAATATTACTATTGCTATGCTTGTGTTTAAGTAGTCACATTCACACATATTAAACACACAAACTGGATTGCTCGTATCAATCGAAATAAGCCCCGACAGCGTCGTAACCCGTCCTCTCATACGATTGTTGATACTAGTTGTTAATATCAGTCATATTTGGTCAATCACCCGACACGCGACGTCGGGATGCAAACATCTTTAGCAGGATCATCAACTTATTCTAGATTCTCTCACATTGAACTGCCCAACGCGATACTGGGTAGTAGTGCGTATTGCCGGAACGTTTGGAGCAGATTTATCAGCTACAGCTATGGCTGCTTTAATGAATGACATGAAACATGCTTCCTCTATCGTCTATGCATATGCTGCTGTTATTGTGGATAGCCTTATAGCCATCGGTCAGAGTTGGTCTTGGGCCACAACACACCAACAATTGCACCGCATTGTGTCAGTAAACTGAGTGACATAGACCTACTTTCTATACTATTATTACGATAATATGCTACTGGCTATGTGGTTTAAGCAATAGAATGCGTCCAGTAACTCATAAATATCGCGCCCTAATTCCAAATGAATTTCCTTTGTCGACCTTTCTAATTTCAGCAGATATTGAGTGCATCTCCTGTACCCTAATTTGGCATCGTAGCAGTTATCTTGATCGTCATTTTTCGCAGTCTGTTTCGATGAACGCTGCATCTCAGCGAAAATATCAGATCAGTAACTACTCTCTGCATAGCGCTCTTCTTTCGGTTCATTACGCTTCGATATCCATCAGTAATTGTTCGTCAATTCTTACTTCGTGCTAAAGCACCCGTCCCTAGCACCCTCGTTACCCTCGTTACTAAAGAGGGACGTTATAAAGATAGAAAACAAAAACCAGCATAGAAACTAACTAGGTTTCGTCTATTTCTGGTGTTACTCCCTCAGCTATCATGTGTCGTTTGTTTATATAAATATCCATAATAAAGTTTATATGGGGGGGAGGGGAGGGGGACCACATATTAATGATTATACAGATATGACATTCTTCTCTTGTAGGGTGTATACGGCTTGAAGTTTGTAAAAGGGGGGTCGAGGAGAGGTCGGACTTGCTTTACGTATTTACTCTTGTAGGGTGTATACGGCTTGAAGTTTGTAAAAGGGGGTCGAGGAGACGTCGGACTTGCCTTACGTATTTACTATAGTTATATTCGTTACACCTCTTATCAATTAATAGTGCTATTACTATATGCATTTATATGTATAGAATATATATGTTCAGTTTCTTCTGATTCTCCTCGTGTAGACTTGTAGCTTGCGAACGGATAGAAGTGAAGCGGCACTCTTACGTGTAGGTGGATAGAAGAGGTCTTTTAGACTGGACCATTTGTCGATTGCTATTACATCTGCAATAATTGTTTTGCGATCTTCGTTTATTATTATTAGAGTCATGTATATTGATTAATGTATAATATTGGAATACCTTGTAGATATTCAAAGGAAGCAAACGAAACATTAAGTTTTCTTGGTATTCTGCATCATCTACCGGCATGCTTAGGTGTTGGTTCGTGTCACACGACCCACTTGACATGCTTTCCTATATCTCTAGTGGTATACAGTGGCTATGGATTTAGTAGCTTGGTGTTCCTCTAAAAGCGTGACTCCTCTGTGTTGTATAATTCCTACTAGCGGAAAAGCTATATCTTCACTGAAAAGCGGGATGAGGTGAACTGTAATCGTTTACGGCCGTTCGCGAGATTCGCAGCGTAAACGTGAAACGTAAGCCTGCTTGTTTGTGCATTCTCTTTTCTTCCCCTTTATCTTTCTCTCGTAAGCAAAAACAAGGAACAAAGGCTGTGGGCGGGAGAGGGGCGGTGGCGCTTGTTGATATAGGATATCTCATTTAGAATAGGCCTCATATAGAATATCCTTCCCTATATATACATATATATATATGTATATATGTATCTATCTATGCGATGAGAGTTTGATTGGAGGCTGCAGGCGGTAGGTTTAGTGACGTTGGGGGGGCGTCATGCGCAGACGGTGAAGGGGTGCGCGACCATTTCTCGCACCCAAACCCCTCATCGTAGTTGCCCTTAACCTTGAACAGCTGTTGGTAGTGCGCCTCGCAGTAAAGTTTGCCGCCCTTCTGACTATACCCGTCCAGTCTGCGATATGTGGGCCAACGATTGCCGCGAGAAGCATGTAAAAAAAATGAAAACAAAATTCGAAACATTGTAAGTGTCGGAGTCGTCTACAAAGGAGAGGGACATGCAGAAGGAGCAATCTGAGAGTAAACCTACTGCATTAGCAAAATAAGAATGTTGAATTACGAAAAAAAAGTGCATGTTCATACAGTTTGTGCACCTAGCTTAACCCAACGAGGTACCGAAAGGCAATCGCACATGGCCCGGTAAAACAGTATCAATGTTACTTTTTGATTGTATATATCAACTCGTGACTTCGTAAACATGTAAAAGTGGGTAATGAACATACCTGAGGTTGATGTTGCATCGAGTACATTTGAAGCACTTAGTGTGCATAACGAGTCCGCTAGCTTCGCGACGTTCCATAGGGAACACTTTACCCTGGCACATAGAACACACTTCGGTTTCCGGTGTGCCGAACTGCCCGTGTCAATGCGGTGGGTGACCGTCACATGTTGATGTGTTCGCATACGTATTCAGTCGGATTCAGTTGGTTTCAAGGTTCGAACGACAAATCGACGTGTAGAGTTCACAGCATTCGATGAACGGTAGGCAAAGACACACGCCAGGTGAAGACGCACATCACGATGTCAGCGTGCACAAAATGAAGTAGAAGAGGTAGCCGAAAGCTGTTAGTAAGCGCTGTCGCAAATATAAGTTATGAAAACAGGGTCTCATTCCAACCCAACACCGGCAATGTTTTTGAAATTTATGGTTTCAAGAAATCTGAACAGGGTTGATCTCGATCAAATGCCAAAATTCCTGGTTCTTAGATCCAATATGTACTCGTACTTTCAGCATAGGATGGTTAGATACAGTGAGAAAAGCCATCTCTAATAAAAGTTAAGTCATCGTAAAGTATGGCCCACCACCATGGTAGCGTTAACTGGAAGACATTCACTACTACATACACCTCAGGTAGGATACGGTTTTCTAATAGCAAGCCGAAGCCAAGCATGTAAAAAGATGATAATTGGAACCAAATAGCTAATTCATAGATAAGACGGCCATGAAGGTTGTTTTTAATACTGCACATTTTTTTCGAGGATTTATGGCCTCACAGTTGTAGCACGTATATGGTACATTCGTTAGGAATGCATGATTGAAGTATAAGTAGGCTCTCTATAATTTATATTAATGAAAAAATGCTTATTATAAAAAACTTATCGCACACTAGCGACCATTTTGGTAGAACCTATCCATGACCCACTTGTTCGATTGATGCGGTACCTTACTTGTTATCTTCATTCGATTGATGTGGTACCTCACTTGTTATCTTCGTATCTTGACTTACAGCTGCGATTAATAAACGTGCCATTTGCGTTCGAGCAATGCCCCATTAAGCATCTCTTCATAGTCAAAATAAATAGGAACACCCTTGGGAACATGCAAAATTACTCTCATAGATTTATTTATAAAAACACATCGTTTTATTAATGTATGACGAAGCTCATATCATATTTAATAATCTGTTATATAAATAAAACGTGAGTCAAAGTTTAAACAATATAAGCTTTTTTGCGTTTCATTTGTTACGTCTTAAAATATTTGGAAAAATTTGCAGGCGCAATATATATATATACTTATAGGGAAAGCAAACAAATTGCTCGTAGATGGTAGACGACAAATTGCTCGTAGACGACAAAATATATTGTCTGTATATATTTTGTTTGTGAAATTATCATATTTCTCAGTTTCCATTCTCCTTTCTTCTCAACTACTATTTGCAAGCGGATGTACGCCGAATAATCTCGAAAATCTTGGCACTCGATGCGGCTATAATCCCGTCCTGCATCGCCACCCAAAACGCCCAAGAATTTTTCCAGTTAAAGGGTCAGGTCACTGAAAAGAACTTCACATTAGTATTTCCGATAAAGATGATATATATATATATATATATATATATATAAACGAGCTTATTAAGTAGGACAGCAAGACGACAAAACAAGCAAGTCAATTATCCGAAGTCCTACTGCTTACCACTTTTCATTTGATGGAACCGTTTATTTTATAGTTCCTGCTATTTTCAACATCCGCTACGATACGTATAGGACTGAATAGCTTTTACACAGGCTGATATAATAAACTGGGGTTGCCGAGTGACGGAGAGTGCGCAAGAGACACGGGGCACTCAAAAGCAATTTGTGTGGCAGACAAAGATTTGCCATTTGTCCTAATGGATATTTATCCCTGGTAAGCTAAACTGACTCCAATTGATAGGCTAAAACGGGTGAACGAATTCCGTTATGTCCAAGTTTTCGTGGACAACGTCAACCACTCTGCGTTGCTTGTGTACACTGAAGACCCGCCAATGTATTTCCGATGGTTATATTTTCGCAATTGATTGTGTATCGATTAGGCTACTTAGGTTTTTTTTATGACGAAAATCGGACCTTAGCTATTTATGCAAGTTATGATAGGCATGCTTGTTCAAGTCGCAAAATGAACGAGGGGTTTGAATTTTTTTGTGTTAGTTGAAATCAATATTAGGCACATATTAAAGCAGCTTTGTGTTGGCATATAGCTAGCCACCTTCTCTCGTAAAGAAATGATTAGTATTATTAGTTCATCAACTCACCTTGCAATTGCGAACAGTTTTAGTTGCGTCCAAAACTAATTAATAAAGAGGTCCACACTCCTGAGCAGCCAGTAGATGTGGTATCGCTTGCTTAGGTAGCATTCGCGATCACTTTGATTAATGGTAGAAAAAGAAAGAATATTATATAACTCAGCAAAAGACCACACCAAAAAACTACCATAAGGCATTTTCAGCAAGCTATTATCTACAGTTCCGGCATATTGCAGCCAAAAATTCTTGAAGCCGATACAATATTTCAGCGCGCACCAATTAAATCACAACGGTAAGTGCCTATTCGAGCATTCGACCAACGTGTGCTAGTATGTCAAGACTTAATAAACGCCATCAATTAGTTAGTTGTTCGAACATTACTTCTGTGTATAATAAACTGGGCCGTAAGTCACCTTCAGATCATCGTCTGGTTAAGTTGACTAACTGAAAACAATGTTATAATGCATCTACAACTTAATCGTCAAGCAAGCAGGCTTATTGACCACAACCTATTATGGATTTTGCCACTACTTGCTATTATGGGGGTACTTCTTAGTTCATCAATACTATATTTAATACTATAATTATTATTACAATATTACTACTTAGAATAACCACCGCATAGCTCGTATAGCCCTCCAATTAATTTCATGTTAGGTTACATTCTCCATACCTAAGGCGGCGCGTGTTATTCTTGCAGGAATTTTTTGTGTGCCTTCTTTAAATAAAAGCAAACTTAATTTCAAGCCTCTTCACCAGTTTTACGAGTCAGAATAAATCACGACTACCTTTGGGCCCAGTTACGCACTTACCACGAAACGGCTGACTTTCGGTGGGTTGACTCTTTCGGTGCTTGCAGGTGACGAGAGTTGTCCTGAACCATTATTCTTGTCGGCGACATTATTTCTTTCAAAGACGGCTCTCATGTTGCGCGTGATATTGTCCGCGGGCATGCAGTCCTCTTCGATTACATGTGCTGACGAAGTTGCTGTCACCTTCACCGACGGAAATTTAGCAAAAAAGAACAAACGGCTCGTATTGAGAAAGGAACAATATGAACAGAGATTCGGACAGATGCATATAATAGATTAGAATTTCATTTAGAGGATGACCTTTCAATTGTGTCGAGAACAATAATTTTCACTACTGTTACATTTCGATTGTAATAACAATATGCTTCGAATTTAAGCTTGTGAAAAATTGTGTACATAAAAAAGTTCCAGCGACATCTTAATGTTCGTGAAGTTTAACAGTTTGCACACTTTAATGATAAACAGACGTACCTGAGGTGGAGACGCGTCTAAAGACGGCTTTTTAAGCTGCTGTAGGAATCTAAGTTACGAGAGCCTATATAACTAACTCCGCATAAGTTACTTTGACATGTTGAAATTTCAACGATTTTTGTATTAAGAAGTTGTGTCTTAGGAAAAATCTGGTGAATATGGTGGATGACACAAAGCATTCGTATTGATTTTTACAATATGAAAGTGAAAAGCGCTATGTGGGGCGGGTATGGGCTGTTTCATGCGGAATCCGTTCGTAATTGTCCATAGTGTATACCTTACGTTCGCATTAAACTAATGCCTTGTTTGTGCAATTACATCCACCAGCAGCTAAAGCTCTGTGCGATTATCGTAAGAGCCATTTTACATTACAAACTACAATTCTATGCGACAAGAGGGCGTTGCTGTAATATGTGAGAATAAAGAGGAACAAACGTTTTGTTCTTTGCTCTCACCTTTGCGGAGGTCTTCTACGAAACCCATTTTCAAGCGAGAAATTTCCTGTCTAAAATTTAGCGAGCCGTATTGACCTCTGTAGCGTCGACATAAAACTCGAATAGAATTTTTGGTTTTTCGTAGCTCATTGCAACTGGATTGCTAGAAGCCCGAATGAAAATATTCTAGTGAGCGGTATCAGATTCGAAAAATTTCTCTCCCTCGCGCTCCTCCTTTTCCTCCTCCTCCTCCTCCTCTTTTTCTCTCTGGAAGCATTTCGAAGATAAAACGTGCCGGCAAGTTCTGCAAAGGAGATGTTAAAGCTCTGTACTGAATGACCATATACAGGATGGGACATTCAAATTCGGGCGAATTTCCGCCTGACTACCTGTTGTAGCAGGCATACGTTGACTCGCGATTTTCGGTGAAAGCAGCTAGTTTTTTTTTAGAATAAGACACCAGACTCATTATGACGAAGAGCATTGGGACTCTTTCGGAATTCGAGCCAAGACTGTGTATCATATAATATGCAAATATGAAAATATTTCGAAGTCGGTAGTGGTGGAGTGGCTTAAGTCCCAAAATATAACCATCATCCACAACAATTACATTTATAAAATAATATAATAGTTATTCTCTCTGCGCTACGTGCTCTACTTGCTCGACCTGGAACTTTTTCTT